TATTATAGCAACTACATTCAAGGACTGAATCAATATCAATAGAAAATATACAAACCTAAATGCTTACATTGAAACTATACACTGAAAACTCAACTTGAAATTTCAGAGTTAGGAAAAATTTAAAATTTTTTATGTGCACAATTTTGGAAGCATTTAATTGCTTCATTATACACTAATGAAGTCATATAAATTGTACAAACTCTTACATGAAAGAAAACAAAGTATCGTTCGAAATTAGGTTTTGTTTCCAAATAATGGTTCATTTATATTTTTAGTCATTTTACAATATTTATAGTTTTTAACCATAATGATGACCATTAATCACATTAAGTAAATAAGCTTAAAGTAAAGTTTGAATTTGTTTAAATTCGTACAAATATATTTACTTATATCCTAGACTATTTCATTCGGTTTTATATTACGGTATTGTGTTAAATATTCTTATTTAACTATACCACAGCATTTATTTAAGAATATGTATATACACATTATGCTGAAACATACACAAAATCATTACATAAATTAAATTTTTTTCTAACATTACCGAGTATGGTTTTTTAAAAAGCAAGCATATTGCGAAGTTAAAGTTTTATTAAAATGGATATGTGTGTATTGTAATAAAAATAAGGGCGAAAATTTTTGAGGTTCTAGCGACATTATTATTGAGAAACATTGAGTATTTATAGAAATTCACATGTATATTGTCTAACACCAACTTAATGACTTATTCAAGAAAAAAGCATTTTATTCATATATTAATAGTAAATTTTTCAAAGTAAATTACAAGTGCACATTTCAATATTATGTAGGGGTAAAATAATTTTGAATTGGTAGATAAATGCATAATACTGTTGCAAAAAAAAAAATACAGAAAAAATGAATCTTATGATATCATTTTAAGTTTAAAAGCACTGAAATGCTTTCACGATATTTTGAAAATATTCAAGTGTTTTCTTCCCTTTTGCAATTTAAACAAAATCTATAATTTTTTCTGCATGTAAACAGTAAGCATATCATTAAATGGAAGGTTTTTCTATTTGTATGTGGAAATATATTTGATATGGGATTTTATGGAATTTATGTACAAAGCTTAGCAAAAGAAAAATAAAATTTAAGCAAAAAAGAAAAATTGTAAAAATCAGTAATAAAAAAGAGAATTTTAATAATTTGTGTTTGATTGTATTTATAGATTTTAAAAAAAAAATAATAAAAAATTTTACACAAAAAAATATGAAAGAACTTTTTATTTCTCCTTTCATATAGAAAAAGGAAAGGAATTTCAAAATGCAATTTTCTTAAAATTTCACAAACGCTCAAATATATAGGCAAGATTAAATTTTATAAAAACATCTTTCCATAAATTTCAAATGGTTTGATATAAAGGAAATTGAATTTAAAAAATGATATCTTTAAAACTATAAAGGCCAAATTACAATAGTCCATTTTCAATAGATTTTAAAATGAAAATGATCCTTTTATGAAAAAAAGCAAAATACACATTTCTCTTTCGATAGGATTCGGTTATTTTTTTTTCCAAAACTATTTTATTAAAATCAAAGATATATATATTTGTATGTATATCATTGAATAGATATCAAATAAATTCTAAAAAATTTCAATTATAATGAAATGTGGTTTAAATTAATTGAAATTTCTATTATTAATTATGTGGGGGTTAAAGAGTTTAAAAATGTATTGTATGAAATCTGATTTTAGTTTAAATTAAAATTTTTGTAAATATAGTCTGGGTTTATTTTGTTGTTATATTTTTATACTTTTTAAAATATTATTAAAAAAATATATTGTAAAAACAAAAATATACTAACAATGCCTCATTGCGATTTACATAGAAATTTTATGAGCATGAAATGTAATTTTTTGTTTTATTTTATGCATATTTATATAAGGCTAATTTAATATAAACAAGTAAAAACGTTTCAATCGGTATAAACCGATTGAATTATACCCTGCACCTTTCGTTATTGTATAGCAATTACTCGAACCTGTGAAACCATTCTATAGAAACTTCACGGACATGTCTGACCTATAATTGGACATCCGACTGCCAAATTTCATGAATCTGACTTTATTATTTTTCCAAATATTTAAAGTAAGCTTTTAGACTTGTATGGGGGCTACTCGAACCTGTCAAGCAATTGCATCAAAACTTCACAAATATATCTGATCTATAATCGGACACACAACTGCCAAGTTTCATGAATCTGACTTTATTATTTTTCCAAATATTAAGAATAAGCTTTTAGACTTGTAGGGGAGCTACTCGAACCTGTCAAGCAATCCCACCAAAACTTCAGAAATATGTTTGACCTATAATTGGACACACGACTGCCAAGTCTCATGAATTTGACTTTATTATTTTTCCAAATATTAAGAATAAGCTTTTAGACTTGTATGGGAGCTACTCGAACCTGTCAAGCAATCCCACCAAAACTTTAGAAATATGTTTGACCTATAATTGGACACACGACTGCCAAGTCTCATGAATTTGACTTTATTATTTTTCCAAATATTTAAAATAAGCTTTTAGACTTGTATGGGAGCTACTCGAACCTGTCAAGCAATTCCACCAAAACTTCAGAAATATATTTGACCCGTAATTGGACACACGACTGCCAAGTCTCATGAATTTGACTTTATTATTTTTCCAAATATTAAGAATAAGCTTTTAGACTTGTATGGGAGCTACTCGAACCTGTCAAGCAATCCCACCAAAACTTTAGAAATATGTTTGACCTATAATTGGACACACGACTGCCAAGTCTCATGAATTTGACTTTATTATTTTTCCAAATATTTAAAATAAGCTTTTAGACTTGTATGGGAGCTACTCGAACCTGTCAAGCAATTCCACCAAAACTTCAGAAATATATTTGACCCGTAATTGGACACATGACTGCCAAGTTTCATGAATCTGACTTTATTATTTTACCAAATATTTAAAATTAGCTTCTGGAGTTGTATGGCAGGTACCCGAACCTGTCAAGCAATTCTTCTAAAACTTCAGAAATATATTTGACCTATAATTGGACACATGACAGCCAAGTTTCATGAATCTGACTTTATTATTTTGCCGAATATAAAAAATTTGCCGTTGGAGTTGTATGGCAGCCACCCGAACCGGTGCAGCTATCCCATTATAATTTTTAAAGCATGTGTAGAATATAATTGGACACACGTATACAAAATTTTATATTTATAGCTTTATTAGTTTTTGAAATATTTAAAATAAACTCTTGGAGTTGTATGGCAGCTACCCGAACCCGTTGTCCGACTTAGTCCAATAACAATAGGGTTCGTCCTTGGCACAAAAGAAAAAACTTGTAAAAGTTTGGTGTCGATTGCATTATTTGTTTTTGAGTTATCGTGCGATCGGACGGACGGACGGACGGACGGACGGACGGACGGACGGACGGACGGACGGACGGACGGACGGACGGACGGACGGACGGACGGACGGACGGACGGACGGACATGTCTAAATCGACGCAGAATTTTACGCTGAGCAAGAATATATATATATGTCCATACCGCAGATGACTCCTTCAAGTAGTTACAAACTCCATACCAAAGTTAATATACCCTTCACGAAGTGCAGGGTATAAAAAGGCTTATTTAATATAATTTTAATATGCGCTATATTGGGGTATAAATTTGGATGAAGAATTTTATAGCATTAAGGGAATTATTTTGAAGAATTTTCAAAGTAAAACAAATTTTAATCAATTAAAATATAGCTTTGTGCATAATATTTATTCAAGTATGTGAATAATTTGTTTTATTTAGAATTGAATAAACCAAGTAAAATTAAAAATTCTACTAAAAATAACATTAGTTTTGTGTTTTTTTTTTTTAATTTTGAGATTTTTACATTATTTATGCATTTAATTTTTTTTATATATGCAGGCTATTGTTTCTTTAACAATAAAGTCTACTAGCAAAACTCAATATGGTGTAAACAAATTTCCATGTAGTATATGCATATGCGTTACGTTCAGTGAAGATGCCTTTATGTAGTGGTGAAATTATAAAAACAAAATCTGACAATTTAGAATTTTCAAATATAAAATTTTTTTATTTGAATTAAATTGTTATTTATATATAAATTGCATTATTAGATATTTATTAGTATTAATATATTTGATTTTATTAATTAGAAAAAGTTTTCTTTTTTAAAATCAATATGAGAAATTCAAATATCATTCAAATACGAGAAATTATACTATGCAACAACATTATGAAATTACGGATTAATATATTTATAAATTAAATATCTCCTTTCAAATATTTTAGAATATTAAAAATTTCCCTATCAAGTATTATTTATAAATTAAATGTTAAAATTAACATCAGGGAGGTGTTATGGCATTTTCCAGGTGAAAGGCGTTCTTATAGAAGATAATAAGTTACCATATGGAATACATATATAGAAACATTAAGAAATTTGAGTCAAATAATTATTTTTTTAATGACAATAATTTCATTTCTGTTTCAATTGTATTTAAATACTGTGAATATATTGTGAGTTAAAAAAATAAAATCAAACTAAATGTTAAGAATAACGGATAACGAAACCTAAATCTTCATTTAAATTATTCAAAAAATTTAAATATTACTTTTATATACAATAAATCTTTCTATTAGCAGATATATTGCGTTAAAGGAAAATACAATTGCAAATGAAAATTTTTAACTTGTATTTGATTAATTGATTTAAGTTATTTATAATATCTAAATTTATTATTAATTAATTATTCGTAAGTACTTTTGGCCGCTTTCTTTTTTTTATATTTTTATTAATTTTATTTTTTTTATATTAAAAGTTTTGTTTTAATTATTTTAATAATTTCTAACTTATTTAAATATTTTTTTTTTCATTTTATTTTTTATAATTATAAGTTCGCGATATTAAATTACCTTAATTTTTTATATTTATTTAAAAATTTTACTACAAACAAAAAAAAAATAAAATTTATTTAAATTTAATTGTTGAAAGAAAAACAATAATATTTCTAATTAGTCCAGCTCATTATATTTTAATTTTACTTTTATCAGTGTAAGTGTACGTTTCTGTTACTTTTGATTTAACTGTTAATTTTTTTAATTAAATTTTCTTCATTTTGAAAAATCGATAGTAATTCAATATTTCCATGTACCTTTAGTATTTTTATTTTTTAATTTAATTATATAATTTTAATGCTTTTTACAACCCCATAGAAAAATATTAGAGGTATTCGCATATATAGAACATTGTATTTAAAGCAATAAATTACAAGTTGAATTAATTAACAATACTACTATGTTTCTTAAAATTGTCTTGATTAGAAATTTTTTTAAAATTGTATTATGCAAAATAATATAAAATAGACTTAAATTGTTGAAGTGTAATTATTAATTTATTAACAATCCAACAATAAAGCTTTCAGTTTATTAATATAATACTTCTGTGGTATTTTATAATGGTATCAAAAACCCTTTGATAAGTAAAACAGCTTTTTTAATAAAAAAACAAAGCGTTTATTAAAATAAAACAAAATTAATCTAGACTATCTCAATTTTAATGGATTTTGAATACCTCTAATTGATTTTAAATTTTTAATTTAAGCTTCTCTAATTAATTAATTCTGAATTATAGTTTTATTTTTTTACTAATTTTGTATTAAAATTTTTTATTTAAGTTGCGTTTTTTTTTGTTTAAGGTTTTGTAATGATTATTTTATTATTTAAAATTTCGCCTTAAAATATGTTATTTTTATATTTTTATAGGTTTTATTTAAATTACTTAATTTTTTTAATAATGTTTCAATAGGTAACAAAAATATTCTTTTTACGCTTAAAACAACAACTGTAATGTTGATAAAAATCTAATCTGTAATTATTGGTTATGCTAATATAAGTATATTTATGTGTCTATATTGTATTTGTATTTATATGAATGTGTAAGTATATATGCTTTATATCATGTATGGTGTACTTTATCTCTTAATTTTTAATGCCTACTTTGTTTTTTTGTAAGCGTTTTTTTCTTCTTGTTGATAAAAATGTTGCTTACCGGATTTTTTTTATTTTCGTCATACGTACACAAGTCTCCCTTGAATTTTCTACGATTTTTTAATTATTTTTTTATTATTTATCTTGAAAATTTCGGTGCGACTCGTTGTTTATCATTTTTATTCATATGATTTTTTAAGTACATTTTTTTGTCATATCACGATGTTAATAAATATTTAAAAATTTTGCAGAAAAAAATAATTGATGCTTTTTGTTGTTGTAGTCGAACAAGTTGTATTTCTGTGGGAATTTCAACCAGCTTTATTTTCTGTTTTTTGTTTTGAAATCCTATTAATTTATGGTGCATACAAAAAGTGGTTTGTTTCTTAGTCAATTTTTTTTTTCGCTTTAATTTTTCTTTTGAATGTTATTTTTTTTTTTAATAATTTTTTTTGGTTTTTATTAGAATTTTTTTCTTGTATTTTTAAGTCCTTGCTGAATTTTTCTTATATTTTTCCTTATGTTGTATTTACTTGACTCTTTTCTTTGATCTATTAAATGTTGTTGGACGGCTGAATGATAATTAATAGTACAATTCTGGGAATACAGAAAAAATTAGTAACGTTGCTGGTATTCATGATGCCACCTATTGAAATCAATATGGAAAACTATGATTGAGCCTGTTGATAATCCAGCTAGTAGATATCTGTGAAAATCACAAAAAATATATTTTGTATAAATTGTGCTATTTACTTATTTTTTTTAAATATGTATGCAAATGTATCTATTTAATTTTGTTTTCTAAAGAAAAACAAATCAGAATATATTGGAAGAAAGTAAATAAATAAATATTATGAATCGAACCAACGGATTGTAAAGTAGTAAATTTTTCTTAAACAATTCTACGTCCTTAAATTATTCTTATTAATAAGTTAATATACCTATCAAATTTTAATATTAATTTATATTAATATCTATCAAATTTTTTTATAGGAAAAGTAATCATTGCATATTTTTGGAATTGCAGTAAAATTAGGAGAAAAATTTCTTATAATGTGTTTTTTAGTTTTTCCAAACTTCTGATGTGAAAAAAATCTGATGTGGTCAGCACATAACCGACCGCATTGTGTATTGTCTAGTTAAATGAAAGTGTTACAGAATATTATAAAAATGTCTGTTAAATACTTCTTTCCAATTTTTAGGACATTAGTAAGCTTATAGTTAACGTACTTAGAAAAATGTAAATTTGGCTCTTAGTAGAGTTTCGCTTTGTGCTACCCGAATTCCCTGAAATGCTCGCCAGTAAGTTTCGGTAACAACCAGAACTCAAATATCAAATTTCAAGAAATTCCATCAATTTGTTCTGTGGATACACAAAAGTTTGGCCCGTCTTTACTATGCTTGGCCCGTAGTAAACGTCTAGTTGCCGATGCCTGGTCTTTCCAATAAATTTATATGTTCATTGTTTTATTACGAGGAGTTCATATATTAAATTTCAATGAAATCGGTTGATTATTTCTCTTTATATACACAAAAATGTATATTTGGCCCGTAGTAAACGTCTAGTTGCCGATTTCTTCCAAAACATACGAATTTTTGCGGACGGTCGAGCTGAGCTTATATATAAAATTTCAAGTAAATCGGTTGAATATTTTCTTCAAAATGTTCAAAAATGTAAAACAGGCCCGCTAAAAAGTGCAGTTCCCGAGGCCTGATATATACCAAAAGTTGATCGATCTGTGCCAAGGTGAAAACAAACTTACATATAAAATTTCATCAAAATCGATTCAGCCGAACTTGAGATACACGCGTGCACACACAGACCGACAGACCGACAGACCGACAGACCGACAGACCGACAGGTTGCTAAAAATAGTTTATTTACACTTCCCTACTATGGAGAAATACGTTCCCACCGAAAACTCGATATGCAAAATTTGTTGCCATCACATAACCTGCCTATTGTTTACACAATACGGTCGGTAAAAACGAAAGATGTTGACTAAATGGCTCAAGATAAGACAATTACTTTTCTATTTTTATAAGCATTTGGAAAAACCTGCAGCTTTGGAGAAATAAGGAAACAAAAATTGAATTTTTTTAATTTTCTGTGGCGGTATTTTGTAATTTTAAATAAATAGCATTTTTACTTTAGAATGCATAGTCAAAATTTTCTTCTAGAGAAATAGGTTTCAATTTTCTTTGAAATGTGCTAAAGATGAATTTTTTGAAATTGCAATATTCGTTGAACACTGCAATAATTGAGTTTCTTTTGCATAGAAGTGAATATACTTTTGTTAAGGCGAATAATAAAATTTCTGAATGAATTTAGTTATGGGTCAAAAATTAAAAACTTGCAGAACAAAGCTCAATTCTCTTAGTTTACATTAAAATAGATTTTATATTAGCTGCACTAATTAAATTGAAAATGCTCGAGTCGATGTTTTTGTAATATTTGTGCTTGATATGTCAATGATAGTTGGATATTATTCCACTTATGCGGAAAAGCTACATAAAATTACATATATAAAATTAATTCAATCCTAAAAAGTTGAAAATGATTTCAAACATTAAAATTTGTAAAAGCTGATTTGGTGTATTTTTTTATAGACATTGTCTTTCTCTCTCAATTACAAAAAAGAATTTAAAACTCGAAATTCAGACGGAAGTATCGAAATTGAAAGTACCAAATTAGTGTTTTATTCAGATCGTTATTTCCTTAGCTAGATTCTTGTCAAATAATGATACGAGTATTAATTTATAGGATAAGTGAATATGTTCGACAAAAAAAGCTGGAAATAAGGTATGTAGAACTCCAGTAACATTTAGCAATTAGTATTTAAATTTACAAATTGACAAATTTAATTTTTATCAATTTACCAAATATTATCAAATTTGTTCTTTTAGTTCTTTTGCAAAACTTGTCTGAAATAAATCAAATCGAAAAGCAAATTAATTAAATTCATTACTATATAGTTATACTAAAATCAATTGCTTTGCTATATACTAATTTACTAATCTGGAATATACTTTGTTAAAGAAAGGCATGGTCACTCATTATATGACAGTTAAAAAGAGTATTAATCACAATATTCTTTTTCTAATTGAAAAAAAAATTTTATTGTATATCAAAAATGCCGAGGGTTTTACGAATTACATTTTGGCTATAATAAGCATACAACAAAAATTACTACATAAAATTACAAAAAAAATTGCAGCAGTTTACGGTGGATTGATCTAGTTCGTATTCATTACAGCTTACAATGAATAAAGTTGGGTCAAACCAATGGTTTGTATTGTAGCACTTTTCCCTTCAACAAGTGAAAATTCTGCTTTTAAATACAGTCTATGCATATCTACCACACTATTAAAATTATTTTCATTCATATATAAAACTATTTCTAGGATTGCCTATATTTAGGATGACGCATATACGCAGTCTTTGAAATAAAGCAAAAATTAATATAAAAAGGGGTTAACATAATGCTCGATTTTAAGGGTTAATTGTGTGAGTTAAGAAAAATAATTATATTTTTTAATTTCATTGAATTTACCGTTAGCTTTTTGCGTTTACAGAAATTTGAAAAAGCTCCTGGTTTCGGAAATATAAGGTATCAAAAATTCAAATTTTACAAATTTCAAGGGGTGATAACTTGAGAGGGGGTGGAGATGGAAAAAAATTTTCTTCTAACGAAATGAACTATTTGTTAATGTCTAAAAGCTTCTAAAATTTTAAGCTTCTACAGGCTGGGGTCTAGAAAAAAAACGACATCAAAAATTTGGAAAAAAATGACTTTAGATAACGGTAAATTTGAACGGCCATTTTGTTTTTCTAAAGTTTAACTATAGTATACCGCGCTAGAGGAAGGAACCAACTGCCTTTCTGCATTTGAAAAATTTCAAAAATGCTTATGGTTTCATTGCAACAAATATTTAAAAAAGGCCATTTTATCGGGGGAGATAGGTAAAAATTTTGTTCTACGGAAGTAAGTTTCTAGTAAAGATCTATGTACATATAAAATTTCAACTTTCTATCTTCAAGGGTGTAGAAGTTTTGTAAACAAAAAAAGTGTCCACGGACGGACGGACGGACGGACGGACGGACGGACGGACGGACAGAGTGAAACTAATAAGCACTTTTTTCAAAAAATTTTTTGGAAAAGTGCTAAAAATAAATATAGACAAATACAATAAAAAGGCAGATAAAAATATTTTTGATTTATATTTAAAACAAAAAAAAATTTACGGTCTGTGGGATTTTTATATTTGTAAGCGATGAAATACAAAAGGCAAAATGATAAATTTAATTACTGAATATTTTATGTATAGAAAATGTCATGTATTGGTATATTTTAATTTTTCAAAAAGGATATTTTTAATCTATGTAACAAATGAGTTTGATTTTTCAATTTCATAATTAATACCACATAAAAAACTTTGTTAAGTTGAAATTTATTTATATTTGAAGTGATAAGAAGGTATTGTGGGTTGTCAGACGTCAGCATTAAAGCTTTATTGAAGTTGTGATTCTTTTCTAGTTTGCGTTGGTATTTAAAAATAATATGCATAAATCTTTTATGATGTTAAGTAGGCGTTACATGAAAAAGTAATATTAATGAATGATGAAATAACTGTACTTCATCATTCATTAATAATGCATAGTTTTATTTGTACCATAATTATGTGACTGTTTCACAACATGATAATAATCATATAGAAAAAGTTACTGAGAGTTTTGACTCCTTGTGCATCAAAAACTTTACAAATTTTTTGATTAATTATTTAAAAAAAGGGTAAATAGTGGTTGGTGCAATAGGGTTAATTATAAAATTGGCTTAATTATAACTTATTTCTTTAATGGATTCTAAAATTAAACAATTTTTCAAAATAGTAGGTATATTTAACTAAATATATTTTAATGACGAATTATTAATAGAAAATTTTTATTTTCCTTAAATCCTTTTCTTAATCGGATTATTTATAGTAGATAAAGTTCGAAAAATGTGATTAGATAGACTGTTGTAAAAGTATCAAAAAATACTAAAAGTATCAGGAAAATATCAAAAATGGAGACAATTACAAAAATATTATTAATAAATTCAAATACAAATCTTTTTTGTATAAATTGTGAATGTCGAGTTTTCGGTGGAAAAATTTTCGAGCCAATTGCACACTTTTGCGTATATAAAGATAAATAATCAACCAATTTGCTTGAAATTTAATATATATGTAAATTCGGTGTGTTAAAATAATGAATCTGTAAATTTTTTGGAAAGATCAAGGCTCGAAAGCAGAGCTGGGATTAATGAAATTTCTTGAAATTTGATATTTAAGTTCTAGTTGTTACCAAAACTAGCTAGTGAACTTTTAAAGGGATTCGGATGGTACAAACGAAAAATCAATTAAGAGTCAAATTTGCAGTTTTCTAGGTAAGGTAGCTAAAAGTTTGCTAACATCCTTAAAATTGAAAGGATGTATTCAAAATGCATTTTCATAACCTTTTGCAACACTTTCACTGAACGAGGTAATATACATTGCGGTCGATTATGTGTTGATCACGTCAGATTTTTTTTGTGTATATTTTCTTATACGTAATATGTTTATGTATATTTACTTATTTAATTTCGGGTATTATAAAATGTTGGACATTAATAATTATGATTATTAATGTCAAACATTTTATAAAACGTGATTGGCAATTCGCGTTTATAAATGTCAATTAAAGTTAAATAATTTTGAATGGAAATATTTTATAATAATAGCAAGAACTATTGATTGAACAATTTTTAATTCAATATACATATTTGAATTGAAATAATTTTCTAAATAGTTTAAAATAGATTGTCTAATAATTTTCGAATTACAAAATAAAAAACACATGATTTTCAATTTTAGAGCGATAATTTTCCGGCGGTCGTTAATTTCTTTTCCCTTTTTTGGCGCGAACACATCAAACTGTCGAATCCTTAACACTCTATAAAAGGTATATAAGCGTATCAAATTTTTTTTCTTTACTAACTTTTATAACAATATTAAAATACAGTGCCACCAAGCACTTATACAAGAATCGGCCACTTAATTACCAAAAGTATTTAAAGATCTTTTGTTAAATTAACTTTTTGATTACTTTACTTTTAAGATTCTTTTAGCGATTTCAGTCAGGCTTGAAAGTACAGAAAAGATTGTTGTATTAAATAATGAAATTCTCTCAGCAAATGAAGAAAGAGATTTTCAGGTAAACCTTGGCAAAATATACTAAAGTGAACTTTATAAATTCAAATTATACATGTGAGATTGTAAAGGTGAAATATTTATTTCTCTCTTCTAAAAAATATGCGGTAACTGGTAGAGGAAAAAAACAAAAATTATCAAATAATCAAGATAGCGGTGTTTCAAATTTAAATCACCACACAAAATATTTATATTTCTTCTTTTAATATTTTTTTCTCTGAGAATTTTATTACTACCCAGCATGTGATTTATAATGTGCTTGTGTTTGTGTCATATATATTTTTTAAGCTACTATACAAATACAATAGATCTTGAACTACTTATCAGTGATGTCGCTAGAAAATTGTTGTAGTTGTCTAAGGAGGGAGTATAATGTGGTGAAAGAGATAGTTTTTAATTTTTTTAATAAAAACCTGTGAACTAAAATAAACTTTAAATTGAAATAATTAATTGTTTCATTAATTTATAATGAATTTTGCCTTAAATCTAATTTTGTTCTACTTATTTAAGTCTCACAAACAAGTAGCTTGTTCTATCGGTTAAAATATGGTAAAACTTCTGCAATGATAATATACCTATAATTTATTTTTGTAATAATATTAATATGCATGAAAATAAATGTACAAAAATTATATTACATAAAAATATACTAAAGAATTAATATTGAAAAAGTAATTCAAAGCACAGGCCAATTGCTTAAACAAAATACTCAGTTAAACAAAAACGGCAGCTTTAGCTTTCATGTTTTTTTACTTTTTATCTCATAAAAAACAAAATATACATAAGTATGTACCTATGTAGGTAACACGCTGATTATATTGAAAAGTTTTAAATATGTTTAGTTTGCCTTTACTTGTCATTAGTAGTATGCGCATTTGTGCATGAACACATTTTTTGTTTTTTTTTGATATTAATACAATTTGATAACAAAAATAATATTTTTAGATCACAACCGAATGTTAAGTTTTTAAATTTTGAAAATAATAAAATAAAAATGGAAAGTTTTATTCATATTCCTCATGAAAGCGATTTCCCTTTAGAAAATTTACCATATGGAGTTTTTTCAACCAAGAATGATGTAAGTTTTGTCAATAGTGTTAAAAAAAGTAAAATTTATTGAGTTCATCAAATAATGTGGGTTTTAATAATTTTACTCCAAAATATAAGTCAAACGCTCTGCGTTGATAATTTAATGTGGAGAGTTAATAATTTCATTTTCATTTTAATTATGTAGGTACCTGTTTTAATTATATAGCTAGTATAAATAAATACATACATATGTACATATATAATATGTGAATTTGCAAAATTTGTAGCAAGAGTACAAGTTAGTATTAATTTATTTGAAACTATAGTTAGATTCTTTAATAAAATATTCAAAATGATAACTTCTTTAATTCAATGTTGGATATTAGTAACAAAAATTCAATAACATGTTCCTAAATACATAATGTATGTACATATGTATACAACAATACACATTTACGAATAAAATTTATAATAAAAAATAGTTATAACGGGTTTTTCAATAGAGCGATTCCGATTTTAAACATTATAAAATGGGAGATATATGTTACATATGTATGTAGATTTGTTAAAATTTATTTTTTTCAATACGATTCAAAACTTCATTATAGGAAGACGTTTAAAAATCGTTCACTTATTTTATTTAAAACTAACCATTTAGTTATCGGAATTTATAAACCATTTATGCCAACTTTTTGCTGCCGCTCTTGCGATACAAAGTTGCAGTTATAGGAATGAAACATATCAGCAATTGTCCACAAACTATCATTCAGTATGAATTGAATGATTAAAGACACTGCGCCACATAATATTGATTTAATAAAGACTGAGTTAAAAGAGGCGCAACTTATTCTAAGCCTCCGTTACAGTTGACTACAATGAGCACTGATTTAACTCTATTAGATTATTTTACTCAAAATCGCCTGTTTGAAAAAAATATATGTCACTGTTGCTGGTTTAAAAACATCTGTATAAGCACATGTTTGTCACCGTTGCTAATTTGAAAACATCTGTGTCGTGCGGTGTCAAATATTGCATATAGTGATCAAAAACGGAATTCATTAAAATCGTTTCTGCAAATGCAACCGAAACGGTCATATAGAATATGTTTACTTCAAACCGAAATCATTTTTTTTTTATATTAATACCAAGTTTTGATACTGTTATGGAAACACCCTTCATAACAGAATTAATTTCTAAATACTACTTGAATTCAAGTTATGTATGTATATATGTACGTAATTTTTAAAATAACATTCTATAAATATTTTTCTACGAATAAATTATTAATATAAAATTAATAGATTCCACAGTTGTTGTTAAGACTTTTGTTTTGTTGCAAAATGTAAAATTCAAGTTTAATTAAAAAATATGCAAATTAAAAAAAACTGGTTAAAAATTAAGATTATTTCTTTGACATATTTTTATTTTTATATATCACTTTTTTGAAAAACAAAAGTCTACTTGGAAACTCAAAATACTAGAAATTTTTATTTGCAAAATATAAATAAACTGGTACAGAAGATTGAGTACGTAAATATGTACCAAGTATATAGTCAACAAAATAATGTCTTTAATAAAAATTCGAAAAAAAATCATGTATGTATGCACTTCTATTTTAATTATATTATTGAAATCTATGGCAAATTACATAAGAATTTGCCAACAACAAAATAAAAGATCGCTTCATTTTTTAAGGATTTTTAAATTTATAAAAATAATTGCAGAATGTTATTAATTTAAGCAAGCAAATCTGAAAAAATTTTTTGAAGTTGACAAGAATGTTTTAAAAATTAATTTGTTCTCGCAATGAAAATTCTGCAACAGTTTCTAACGAAGTCTTACATTTAGTCCTTAAGATTAAAATACTGCCTATTAGTAACACTTAATCAGTGGTGTATCTTGTTAGGTCTGTTTTAAAATTGCTGAGAAGTAATTCAATTCTGACTTTCTGTTTACGGCAACACAGAAAACAACATATTTTCTCATTCTATTTTTTCGCAAAAAGAATAGTACACTTTTTTCATTTCTATGAATATTTTAACATAAAAGTTTTATTACAAAAATATTTATTTTATGTAATCATATACTCAAAGGAAATTTAATCAGGTTGTGAATTTTGTATGGATTAGTATGTGACATTGCGTTATTTATATAGAAATAAACCAGAAACCAAAGTAATTTTTTTTAATAATTAAGTTAACAAAATAAATTAATTACTGAAAATTGAATTTAAACAAGCCAAAATAACCACAGAATAATGGTTAAATTAAGTTTAAATTTATAATACGTACATAAATATCTCACAATAGGTATGCACGTATGTTTTTGAACACATTCGTAAAATTAAAAGATATATATGTATGTATGTACACACAAGGGATGGAATAAAACAACACAAGAACGCAAATAACTCAACAAATAATTTAAATTTCAGCGCAGTAATTAATTAATCTTTCTTTTAGAAATTTGGTTTCGACTTTACCACAACTTCTGGCATACTAATTAATAATTAGTTTTGATAATTTTTAGGGATAGTACAACAATTTAAGGGAAAATAGAAATTAGTAACAAAAATTTAGTTAAAATTCAATCTAGACAAATATTCAATGGTTATTTATTTTAATTTATTCTAAAACGTTTAAATAAAATGATTATGATTTTTTTTTATATTTAGTCAATATCTTGGTCAATTTATGAACATTTTGGTGTATTTCAAAGAAAAATTAATTCAAAATTAATTAAGGGACTACTATTTAAATAAGCTCTTACATCCCTTGAGTAATTATGTTATGTTTTGGTACGAATAGGCGTTTCATATATAAGATACGCGTTCCTTCTTGTAAATTACTTATTTAATTTAAAACAAAAACACATTGCAATAATTAATTTAAAATTATTTCAGCCAAAAAAACGTATTTGTGTGGCCATTGGACTGTATGTTTTCGATCTTTCTTCCGTTTCTCATCTCTATCCACAAGAGGTCCAGGTATTTTTCTTCTAAAATATTCTAAAATATTCTAAAAAAATATAAACAAAAAAATATATATTTTTTTAGAATGCTTTAAGGGCAACGTCACTAAATACATTAATGGGTTTGAACTATGACCAGTGGGACGTAGTAAGAAAACGAACGCAACATTTGCTATCAAGAGGATCTGAACTGGAGCAGAATATTGATTTAAGAGAGAAGTAAAATTAATTTATTTACTAATAATTGTTAATATTTCATTCATAATAACTTAAAAAAAAATTTATTCTGTGAATTCCTCCATTTCTTATTTTACAAATAATTTCTTACTTTATCAAGATCATTAATTTTGCAAACTGAATGTGAGATGCATCTACCAGCCCAAATTGGTGATTACACCGACTTTTATTCGTCTATTCATCATGCTACTAATGTCGGTTTAATGTTTCGTGGAAAAGACAATGCTCTAATGCCCAATTGGAAATACCTTCCAGTAGGGTATCATGGTCGTGCAAGTTCAATTGTGGTATCTGGTACACCAATTAAACGCCCTAAAGGGCAAACGCTCCCAGTAGACGGGCAACCACCAGTTTTTGGACCATGTCGCCTGTTTGATTTTGAACTAGAAATGGCTTTTTTTATTGGTGGCGCAGAAACAAAATTAGGTGAAACTATTAAAGCTGAAGATGCTTGGAAAAATATATTTGGATTTACTTTAATGAATGATTGGAGTGCAAGAGACATTCAAAAGTGGGAATATGTCCCCTTAGGACCTTTCACTGCTAAGAACATGGGAACAACAATATCACCCTGGGTTATTCCAGTAGCCGCTTTAGAACCATTTTTAATTGATAATTTTCCTCAAGAACCAGAAGTTTTTCCTTATTTGAAACACAATAAGAAATTCAATTTTGATATAAATTTACAAGTTGCTATCAGGCGTAAGATTTTTCATGTTTAAGTATTATATTTTTCCTTTATTTTATTTCTTTTGTGAGGTAGCTGATGGAAAGGACGCCACAACTGTTTGCAAGTCTAACACAAAATACCTCTATTGGACTCCGTTGCAACAGGTAGCACATCACACAGTTACGGGATGTAACATAAGACCCGGCGACTTAATGGCATCCGGTACAATTAGCGGGGAAACTGATGACTCATTTGGTTCAATGCTTGAGTTAAGTTGGAAGGGTACCAAGGAAGTAAGATTAGGTAACGGTGCAGTGAGAAAGTTCTTGCAAGATGGTGATGAAGTTGTAATAACCGGTTTTTGTAAAAAAAATGGTTTAAGGATTGGTTTTGGTTCATGTACCGGTAAAGTTTTGCCTGCAGATTTATAAGTTTACATTTGTGTTTTTATTTGTTCTTTAAATAAAAAGAGAAGAAATCGCTTCAATATTTCAATTCTTATAAATTTTTGTGGACAAACTTTTGTTATCAATACGTGTTCACAGTAATGATGACGTTTAATCCATTTGTTTATTTGAAGTGTATTTAGTTTTTTTGGATATAACTACAACTTTTTGTTATAAAAAATATTTTAACGAAAACAATTTTTGTACTTACTTTTGATCATGGGTCAGGGCTAGAGATCTGATGGCGGCGTTACATGCTGGAAAGGCATATAAAGGTGCTAAATTAAAAGTTCTCCACACTTCAACAATCCCTCGTTCACCAGCAGTCATTAAATATTCTCCATCACGTGACAATAACATGCACTGTAATTGTTTAAAAAGTATCAACAAGATTAATATATTACGTTATATTGCGTTTTTAAAATTAATTTAAATACAGACCTGTAAATTATCATTATGAGTTTCGTGCCGTAATTCTTTTCCATTGATTGTATAAGCTGCTACACTACCCTTGTCATAATTCACAACAATAAAACCTTCTCGAGACATTGCTATCAATTCCGGTGATATGAAATCGTTCGGTGGATCCAATGATCTTAACAAGTCCCCAAAAGTTGTATGAATTAGTACTGGACCATCTGTCATAATAATTTTGATGTTCATATTAGTATGTTACAATCTTTAAAAAATTTTGAAACTTACTGGTTGATCCTGAAACAACTAAACCTAGTTCAGCACTGATAACGACGGATGTCACAGCTTGTTCATGGCCAGTCAAAGTCGCGCGAGGAGTTGGTACATCACCTTCACCAACAATACTTTGTGTTCTTGCGTTCCAGTGCCATAGCAGAACAGTGCAGTCAGATGACCCAGATGCTATATAGCAATCTGATGTGATATTGCATTCAGATCTCGACAAACAAGTTACAACGCCGAAATGGCCGAAAACGATTTGAACAATTTTGGCTAATAATGGAAATTGAATATGTTTTTACTTAAAATCTGCTCTTTACCTGCATAAAGATAATGTTAAACCTACCTGTTTCTGTTGAAAACACTCTAAAACTGTTGTCCCAGAAACCGCAAGCAATAAGAAATCTGCTATCTACTGTTGTTACAAAACAATTAGAACGAATTTTTAACTTTTGACTGAAATTATCTCCTAGATGTCGTCTGTTCATTGGATTGTTATGTGTATTTGTTTGCGCTAATAAAACGGAAATTAAGGTTAGATTTTTTAAAGTTGTTTTACATTTTCTTTTCAAGTATATTTGGTATGTGCACACTTACAGAGAACTGGATCCATTGTAAGAGGTAAGTTAGCTCCCGGGGATTGGGGTGATTCGGCATAACTCGGACTTTGGACGGAAGCCGTGTAATTGCAATTCCATCGATTGACAGCGAATTGATGACCAGCTGTTACAGTAACAACAGATGGCAATGACAATTGTGGATAAGTATTTGCAGATATATGAATCACTGGTGAGTTTAAGTGGAATTTCATGGACATGCATACATCATCAGGCATAGCACTGAACATCATTGGTGACAAATGCATTGCGGAACTACGTGGTGGGTGTGGTTCCATTAACAATTGACTCGGAGTTTGACCAAAATTTTTTATTTGATTTTCCACTGCTTCTCTCATAACGGGATCAACAATAGTATCTAAGTCCACACTTCCTTCGTAAGTTAAATAATAAAACACGTTTGTAGCTCTTACCGCTTCAGGTCCCCTTTGTTTATATCCAAAAATTAGATCAATCCATTGATGAAGTTGGCAAGATACAAACTCAGATTCTAAAGCCATTCGATTAATTCTTACAAATTCTTCTGGAGATTTAGACCATGGCGGTAGTTCTACATCTGATACTAGCGTACCATCTTCGCGTGTTCCTAAACGATATCCCGATGAATTATAAAACATTTCAGGTAAAAAGTACCACTCAGGTATTAATTCTTTAACATCAGAGGTGTCACGTTGACAATTCTTCCATGACAGGGAAACTGACGAAAAGAGTCTATCAGGAAAATCGAACTTTCCACCTTGAAGAGCCAAGAACATGCTCGTAAAAGGTTCAACTCTCAACAGCCACGTCAAAACAAAACTAGCAGTCGAATAATGTGTACCATAATGGAAAGGTGGAATTGTATCGTTATCCCAACTTTCATAACGTTCTTCAAAATATGCTCGTCTGCTTGGGTTTAATGCACCTATGGGTTTCGATAAATCACGATAATTTGAGGGTTGACTTAAATCTAATTCTTTTGATTCATAATTAGTTAAAACCCACGGGAAAATCGGGTATTGATTTAAATCGTTATATGTACGTCCAGCAATCGTGTTTAGGAACATTAAGTATTCAAAATTTGAAATTTCTCTGCGTTGCCATTTTTGCGTCATATTTGAATTTCGCATTAATTGTCTCGGTGACATCATTGAAGCTCTTCTTGTTTGCGGAATTCCATATTTAATTCCAACACCTACTCTTGGCAGTGCTTTAATTACTTTTTTAACGGTATGTTGATCTGGAAACGCGAATAAAATTGATGTGCGACTTGCTAAAAATATTTCTAGTGCAACATTTTGTAACAAATAACGACGAGAAAATATTGCACGGACCTCCGAAAAGTACCATTTTCCATGTAAATGGTCGCAGTACTTCAATACCTCTGGGTCGATTTTCTGAAAATCTGGGTGATCTTCATCAACTTCAAAAAACATCTCAGTGCTGGTGATAGAGACCGTACCTGGGGCAACAAGACCTGGTGCGATTAATTTAGCTTTAGTACTAATATTTACGGGCCCAGTTAAATCCAAATCTAATTCGCGATCTTCAATCAGAAGATCAGCATCATCTAAAAGATCTGCTGTCTGTTGTCCAGGTTGGTGAGATCTCGTTACTGCAATTTGTGAATGGAATTCATCTCTTGTTTGCATGATAGCATCTTCAGGACCACCGTTTTCTAATGCAGCTTTAAGTGTAGCTTGTGGGTGACTGGACCCTCTTGGGTTTTGTACCATACGCTTTCTTCGCCGAGCATCGTCTTCCCATGCGTCTAACTTCCAATATATTAATTTTGGCGCTGTGCCACTAGTATCACCCCACGCTCCATGCCGATTGCACATAATATTACGTACTTTTTCAAGCAATCTGCTAGCAATAACATTATCACGGCGACGAGCAGCTGTAATTAAATGATCGCACATGCGTTCTTCTTCCCTTCGTTCAAGTAAAGTTTGAGCACACTGCGATTCAAAATCAGCGTGTTTCAAGACATCATCAGCTCTCATTCTATTCAATATGAATTCAGCTTCATTCGCAACACGTACAATATGGTCTTTCATGGCGTGTGATAAAAGTCTTCCTTCGTTGATTAATTCAATGAAAGCTAAACCAGCATGTTTTTGCAAACTATTTTGCCATTCTTGAGAGCATAGTAACATTACTAACTCAACAACAGAATGACTGTTTTTGAAAGTCGTTAATCCTTTACCTTCCATTAAAAGTTCCTGACCGTGAGATCCAACGAGTGTTTTTGATAAAAATGGTGCAAAGTCAACCATTATTTCTCTTAACAGTGGGCAAACTGGCCCTAAAGCTATCTCTAATTTTTGCGTAAGACTTGCTTCTCTTGATGGAGTTGTCATTGGCAACTGACCTACCAAAGGTGGTTTAATTGGTATATCTTCCGGACGTGTACGTTGCCCGGATGATTGAAAATTATCAGGCACTCGTACAACGGATATTTCTGAATCCGGTTTGTCACCACGTTCACCACCTATATGATGAATATTTCCCTCAGGATCTCGTATTTTATCAGTTGTATCATCATTTAAGTTAACGTCAGTCCAACTATCATCATTCGAATTTCCGGGTTTGTTATCATCAATCATTATTTCACTAGATGATTCTACTTCATGAACTTCATTTTCAGTCGAATTCATATTTAAAGATCCAACGTCGGAATCAACACTCTGATATGAAAAGAAAATTAAATTGTTACTATAAGATAAATCTTTCAAGCATTAATGCAAAATTTTTGTGAGCTAAAAACACAGTTATTTGTTTAAATGAAAGTATTGTGTGGTTAGGCAAAAAATTATTGATGTCATTAAAAAAACTTTTTTTACCAAATTTACCTGTGTAAAATTGCAATTCATTAGGTAACCAGTGCCATTTATGTGATTTGTTTTTTAATAAAAAAATAAAAACACACAAAACATAAAGCAAAATAAAAGAGTTCAAAAATAAACTTAAACATAAATGAAAATATAAATATGAATTTCCACAAAAAAATTTTTGAAAACGTTTAAAATAATGTGTATAATATTTAATTAAAAATATAATATAGTAAAACAACTCATAAAATTATGCCGATAAATGAACACCACTGAACTGTATATTCGCATTAAAAGTAACTCACACAAAAGTTTCAAAACTAACAACAATATGGACACATAATGCAGTTTACCGTTTAAGAAAATACTAAAAACCATTGCTAAACATTTAAAGCAAACAGCACAAAAGAAGGATTTGCAAAACGTCCTAAAATGTTACTAGATTGTAGAAAAGTGAAAGTTTTCAATTCTTAGAGTTTTTTAATATTGTCAAAAACTTTAGTCTGCAAATTATATAACGCAAGGTATTTCGTGGGTACATATTAAATACTTATATTCCACTATTACACATATAACTCACTCACCGATTTATAGGGCCATTGTCCAAAAAAGGTAAATTTTTATAATCAAGAATAATAGAGCAGAAAATGATAAATATGAGTCATTTTTGAAACATCAACCGTTTCATTACAATTATTTTAGAATACCAGCACGGCGCCGACAATTTTTCAAATTTTCTGTATTCTTTTTTGCGAAAAAGAGTTTACTCTTTTTTACTTAAGCGAAAATGCTGATTAAAACAAAATTTTAATTTAAAAAAGAAAAAAGTGTACACCAATAACACAAAGTCTAGTCCAATTTCACTTATAATTTTAATAAAAAATTATGTATAATGGTGTAATAACATAATTATTCTTTATATAGTTTGTGAAAATTTTATATGGTATTTATGTAAATAATCGCACATATTTTCGCATACATATTAATCTCTGAAGTCTTCTATTTAATTATAATATGATATTCGTCCTTCTGGCATTTTTAATATTCATCAAACGCATTTTATCCTTGTTCGTACGAGTATACTTTAACTGATGAATCTTAAATTTTTATATGAATACGTATATGAACGTATTTAAACACACATAATTACCGACCGCATTGCATACAATAAGGGAGGTTTTGTGATGGCATCAAATTTTGTATTTCGAAATCTGACGGAAATGCGTTTCTCCATGCTAGGGAAGCGTAAATAACTTATTCTTAGAGAGATGTTTGTCTGTCTGCGACTCTTCTATATCAAGTTTGATTGAACCGATTAATACAAAAATTTATATCTGAATATACTTCGAGAATGGGTCAGTCTGATCAATTTTTGGGATATGTCAAAAACTGTATATTTACCGTAGGTCAAATTCAGCGAATTTGCTCAAAATTTTTATATACAAGCTCTTTCATACAATGCAACAAATCACATAGTGTTTTGAGTAAACTGGTTTTTTACTACATGTGAAGATGAGTTTTGACTACAGGCCAAAATTACATTTTTGCTCATATACGCATGATCAACCAATTTCATTGAAATTTAATATTTCGAATCAAATAATCAACCAATTTCTCTAAAAATCAATATTTTGAATTAGGTTTTTAAAACAATGAACAAGCAAATTTTTCTAGAATATCAGGATTTGAAAACAGAATTTTCACTAGGAGAAATATTATATTTTTTACCATTTTTAAAGAACCAATTGAATTTCTTGCAATTTAATATGTGAGTTATACTCCATGACGAAATTGACCGCCCAACTTTGCAGAGAAACATAATATATATTTTTCTGAAATAAATGTTTAAAAGATATATTTATAATTTTTTTCAACACTTCAATAATACAGTCGGTTATGTGCTGTTCACATTAGATTTTTATATTTTATGTTCACGTACATATATAAACGTGGTATATACATATGTCGTACATATGAGGAAGTTATATAATAACAAAAATGTATACATATTTTATACTTACACGTATATTGCATTATATATCGAATGCATATCGAAAATATCCCGATTTTATATGCTAGAAACCGAGATGAAATGCAGTAGAGCCAATTGAAGATGATCGCATGAATGAATAATGAAATTTTAAAAATTTCATATTGATGATATTTGGTTATGGTTGAACAAATCAACAAATAAAAGTTGATATACATTGTATATTATATATGTATGTATATCATGTATTTGTTTGTTCATCAAAGTTATACATATACATACGTTATGTATATCTGAATAAAAAAGTATGGGTATAAATAAAATATGTTTTAAGAAAAGATTATTACAGATACCCAAGGCTATTGTTACGTTACCGTTCTGATATTACGTAAAAATAAAGATTTGATTATTTTCAAAGGGCATACATACATATATCTACACAAGGTTAAAATAAATAACAGAAAACGAAATCAAATTTAAATCATTAACGAGGGAAATAAAAATTCGTTTTTTATTTAATTTTAGTACATGAAAGATTTTTTAGAATACTCGTATTGATTCCAATAAAGGGAAAAGTTTTTCAAAAACTGTAAAAAAACTTTTGTTTTTGTAAAAATTAGCATTTTTTTTTTCAAAACAAAATGCAATCTAAAAATATTTGGCTTGTTTTCCGTTAAATTAAAGTTAAAAGTTTACATATAACGTATCTGCATATTCCGCCATAACATTTCTTTATTACTAATTAGTCGTATAACACAGTCTAATAGGTTTAGTACAGTGTTTTATATTAATTGACATCGTATTTATATTTTGAGCGTATCAATATGAGAATATCAAAAAAAGGTATGTGAGAAGCTCTTATTTCGCTCGAAAGTAAGTATAAGAGAATAGAAGTGTGTATGTATGTGAATCGCCTTTATGTTTCATACAGAATTTCGATAATAACTATGCTACTACATTACCACTAAAATGCAAACTTAACCAAATTATGCAGGACAGCATAATAGAAGATGTGCTCGTATATGTATTAGAAAAATTTTTAACTTATTTTTCAAAAATTTACGATGGTTGTCTTTTACTGATTATTACCAAGAAAATTAAAAAAATGCACTTAACTGAGTTTTAGAAAAAATTTCAATTTGCGAATTTTTACAAGCTAAATACGAAAGTGAAAAAGAATTTTACTGAACTAGTTTGTACTAAGGAAAAATTGTAGATCTCATTCATTACCTGTAGAAGTTTTTTCTATCTTTATCTCGCATATGAAACAAAAATAAAAGTTTGTCACCAATATTAAAAATTTAAAGTTTGCTACTACTAGAAAACTAACATTAGAAACGTTTAGTATAAACTTTAAAATAATATCTAAAAACATTTGTTAACAACTAGGTTTCATATTTTTCCGTGTTATGATTTAAATCTTCTGATGACTTTTACTTATTATTAGCAAGGAAGAATGTTCTAAGGACAATAATTTAAATGTTCTAATATGTCTTCAATTTTATTTAAGCCTTTATCAAGATCTTTTCCGGAATCTGAACCACATTAAATGTATTTTCAACAAAGTTGCCGAGTTTTTCAAGTAAAATAAAGATAAAATTACTAAGAGGCTGCAATAAATTTTTTATTCCAAACAAAACTTTTTCACACTTCAACTTAAATTAAAGTTAGACTGAAAGTTAAAGTGAACCAAAAGTAGCAGTTTATAATTAAAGCTAATTTAATGTTATTAAAATTTTAAACTAGAGTTTGAGCAAAGTACTGATTATTATATGAAATATGTTAATGTGGCATGCTGTCACTCTATGTCAGAGGTGGGGAACCTTTTTACCCATGGAGGCCAAATTTAAAATAACAATAACTAAGGAGACCACATGAGTTTTAATACCAATAAATGTAGCTTTTGTACAGTTATTGCTGCGCAAATTAAATTTCTTTTTATTTTGATATAAATTGTTAATTGATATAAATTTGTTTATGCAAAAATACATAAAGAAATATAAAAATTAATAAAATTATATTAATAAAACGAAAAATCAACTCATGAAAAGTAAATAATTAAAATAATTAACATAAATAAAAAAACAACTTCAAATTTATTGTTTAATAAATTTAATTCAAGTCAGACTATATGTAGTGAGATATTTGCATTTGTTTTTTACTTGAAAGCAATTGAATATTTAAAGGGCATACAAGTAGAAAAGGCGGCGGAGCGGGGTGGCATAAAAATCCCTTAGAGGCCGCTCTATGCTTATAATTAAATAAAAAAAAACATTTTAATATCTACATAAAATAGGAAGAAAATGGGTTTAAGTATAATTAAAAATAATTAAATTAAACTCACATGCTTCACAAAAATTTCTTCACATCGAAATTTCTTTACTACAGTGAATTTTAAGTAAGAAACTTATGAAAAAGTCACTGTGCGTACATAATCTTCACATTTACATAAAATTCAAAAATTATAAAAAAAAGCAAACGCGTACGAATTGTAAAATTATGGGCCTTATAAATCGAGCGAACGTACTCTAACTTTTCTAACTTAGTTAACTGTATATTATACGTACTACTTCATTTATACAGCATTTTTAACGTATTTGAATTATTTGATTGATATTAAAGTCAAAGTAACGCGTTGGATTCTATAAAATCAAAGGCTAAACCAAATAATGAAAAATAACTGGAGCGATTAACAATATTTTTTTTAAATTTCTTTGTTGGAAAACAAAAATTTCATTTAAAATTCAAAGTAATATCAAAATTTTGGAAAAAAAAGTTAAATGCAAATTTTTTTAAAAGAGTCTGCAAAATTCCGTGAGTATTGCTTTGCTAAAAGTTTAATCATTTGTGTATAAGTTTGTTTAAA